TTCTGAAGTAAACGCATTCGTGATCCACTCAAAATAAATGTGCTGATTATTATAAAACTGCTTAAAATGTGGTAACAGTAAAAGTCAAGCTTCTTGGGTGTGCTTGTCGTTGCATTAGAAACATTAAAGTCATAGAAAATTTTTATTTCGATAATGCTAAAAATGCAAATAATGATGGTTGATAGAATATAGCATAGTTTGCAAATCTTAATGGTTGAAGCATTAATTGTGTATGGTAATATTCCCAGAATACGGAAAGAAATAAAGCAAGGATACATTAATGATTCGAAATCCGTGGCATGAAAAAGCTGCCATGTTTTTCCTTTACTTTTATTTTTTAATTGTTGAAACATTATTAACAAATTAAACAGGTTTGTCCAAATATTGTAAAAAAACAATGATCTAACTAAATCGTAGACTATAACCGATCGGATAATAAATTATTAATCAGATGATTAATTACACAAACACTTTTTAACAGCAACTTATATGAATTCCGTGTTTCAAGTGTTATTATTTATTATGTTTACGGTAAATACATGAACTAACATAAATTTCTCACAATCTATCTATACTTTCCAAGTTTAATTTCAAAACTACTAAAAATTATCGCATCGTATAGTGAAAGACAGGTCAAGTATTTGTTAGTCATAAAGTAACCATGACATTTTGTTAGTTATTTACGACACACGCATGAAATAATGATATATTATTTATCATTATTTATATATATTATTTATATATATTATTTATTGTGTTATATAATTTACTCTGTTGTGCATCTAGATCAAAGCGGATTAACATTATTAAAATATTTTGTAACCTTTCTTTAGATTCATTCGAGTAAATATAAAGTTATAGTAAATATATATCGTTCTAACGTGAAAAATCAAGAAAGATAAAGTTTTATTTGAAATGAACTCTCTGTAAGCAGTTTGATCAATATAATATATTTGAAGAAATTTTTATGATACGACTAATAAAAGGTGATGTGACTTGATAAAGCAATAAAGTATAATTGCAATCTACTTATTTATTTTTGCTTTTGCGGGCTTATTGTAAAATTAATAAAACGAGCTAATGTAATCTAACACAAGACAATAGTAATAATTATGTACAATAATGATAACAAACGTTTTAGTCCCAATTTGCGCCCTCGTAAAATAAAAAGGTTTATTAATAATTGTTGAGCATTACGATACAATAAGTATAATCAAAGCTGATATTTTTATTTAGTTTCATGATTTATTTCTTTCAAGTCTGATTATCTTATATATTATTATAAAATCTCATTTCTGATCTGCTATAGTTAACAGTGTATCTACTGTCTGCTATCTCTCGACATTTTTTTAACATACGTGATGTTTAATATTTTAATTATTTAAAAATTTATTTAAAAAATTGCTTTTTTATATTCGTATTCTTTTTCTTCGTTTTATATTCGTATTCTAATTTCTTTTATTGAAAATAAGAATATAAACATATATATATATATATATATATAAAACCGAAATAATCAATGTAATCAATATTATATATCTTTTCAACCCTGAAAAATTATTGATTTTTTTGGAAAGGATAAGAGAGATGAATTTGATATCTGATTATCTGATTTAATTATCTAAAAACATACACACACACACGACATGTTTTATTGTGATTATTAATGTAAAAAAAATAATTTTTTAAAACTGTTTTGATTTATTTAGGTTAACTTTTATTGAGCTATTCTCGGACTCTCTGACGAGGCATTCCTCCGGTTTTAACGCTCTAAAATTTTATAAAACAAACTAAAATAAGAAAAATTATTACGAGCCTCTGAAATGATTGTGTTATTAAGGCCTGATGAGCCGGATTTTAAAATTTGTAAAAATCGAAAAATTATAGCATTTAAAAGAAAAAATTCGATTTTGTTGATAAATTTTTTACCTTTACATATTTTATAAAGATTGTTATAATAAATAATTATTTTAATAGCCCGACAGATCGTGGAGAATTGCATTTTACACAAGTAAAAACTTGTTTTAATTAAAATAGATTGAAATTTATTAATTTTATCGCGCTAAGACTTTTCAAAAACAAGATTTCGAGAAAAATGCATTTAAGACAAAAAAGTATTTGACAAAAAAGATTCATGTGTATAATTAACATATGTTTTTGTAACTTATTCATATCATACTTATTCATATATTAAGACTTATTTCACATATTCTAGTCACTATATATATAAAATAATTCAGATTAAAAAAAATTTATTTTTTTTTAAAAAGAGAAGATATGTAATCTCTCAGGTTATTTGTACAGTATAATCAAAATTTTTAGTAAGTATATATGTATGAAAAATAAAAAATAAATTCCGAAATTGTGTCATAAAGATATTAAATATTCTATATACACACAATTAGAATATTGATTTTTGGGATAATGTCGAAGAAAAAAATGTCAAAGGAAGAAAAGGAAATTAATATCTTAGAGAGTTATTTGTCTATGTATTGAGTAGTTGATACTATCTATTTCGTGTTTGCATATATAATTTGATGGGTTGTCATAACAATTGTATATCATTATTTTGCACTTTGTATCCCAAAGGTACAATTGCCGATCGAAGAACACCATGGTTACTTGAAGTCCAACAAGATATCCCTTTAGTCTTGTCTCGTTTGAGGTAGCAATTATGTGTAGTTTTGAATTTAAATTTGTTGCGTGCAAACAGGACGAATAATCTACGTATTCAATGAGAAGAAACAAACATAATAATTATAAAAAGAAGTTGTTACAATCATATTAATACTGTAGTGCATTGATAATAATAATTTTTATTTGTTAAGACTGAGATGTTTATACTCCCTGACATTCTACTGATCATGCTCGATTTGTTACCAAAATTTCAAGAATAAGTATTGAAGAAATATGAAGAAATGGCGGCTTTTTCAAGCCACGGACTTTCAATCCTTAATGTATCCGTGCTTCATCTTTTGCCGCATTCTTGGAATATTTCCATACAAGCTGAATGCTTCGATCTTCAAATTATCTAAATCGTGTTGCGTGGTGTCAATTTTCATTATCTGTATGATTTGCTATATGCAATTCAAGTTTCTCTATTTTCTTAGTTATGGGAAAAAGTATATTTCAGACGTACCCTCAACTCTTCACGGTAATTGCTACTTTTTATGTAGCAGTTTTATAACGATTGTCACGCACGTCTTGACCAGTCCACGAATGCGATTGCTGCAGACGATAATGGATATCTCTTCAAAACTACCTTCGAAGACATATAAGAAATTGTCTAAACTGATCCACACAAAAGATATCTTTAGTTTTTTTTCCTTTTTTATGTTATTAACGATATGTTACTACAAGCTGAGTTTTGACTTTAAATTCCTGTTATATACGATATACGTCAGTTTAGTGGTATTTCAGATGGATATGCTGTACATGAATTGTGTTTGTATATTAAAAGCTTGTTTTAAGAGAATCAACGATAATCTTGCGAATCTTCGTGAACCCGTCATGGAGGATATGCCGCATGTATTTAGCCAGATATATCAACAACGAAATCCATTCCTACTGATGGAACTCAAAGCTCTGGAAAAGCAGTATCTAATGATCAGCAACACAGTGCAGATGTTGAATTTGACCTTCAGTTTGCAGCTTCTTTCTTCGATAATCCTAACTATTTGCGAAGTTACTTTCATCTTGTATTTCTACATCACGCAGTGGTGCATTTCTACATTACGCAATGATGATGAAGACTTTGTAAACAAAATGTATAAAGATTTTTGGTACTGCTATTTCCTGATATCTATAATATATCAATTTTTAAAAATGGCCTCGATCATATGGGCCTGCGAGACTGGCAAGAATCAAGCTCTTGAAATCGGCACTACTGTTCATATTGTATTTAACAGCATTAACGATGAAAACGTGAAAGACGAGGTAATGTAATTTAATTTATACACTGAAAAAAAATGTTGTTAACTTGACTAAATGCGTTTACTTCGTAATGATTATTTAATTTGAGTATTTATATATTTAGGTTAAATCTTGTAATTTATTTAAAACATGTTATCACAGACAAAACGCTTACAATCTGAAAATAATGATAATTTTTGTCCATAGATATATTTGGTCGTGATAACCGTAAGATGGATATATTGATTAAAACGTGTTAATCTTACAATCATCATAATCTTACAATAGTTCTTACAACCAAAAAATATATATTTAAGACCGACTTCTGGTCATGATAGCCGTAATTTTTTCCGTAATTTGTTTGGATTATTAAATATTTATTTAACAAATATTTACTTGAAAACCCGTGATTGCTGCAATTAGTTGAATCAATTAATATTTTTTTGAAATAGCAACTTTTCTTCTCAGTGTATAAAAACTTTTGCGTACTAATGCAATTTGTTTGTATTATATATTAAGTCTACTTAATATTGTTTATATATTAAGTCATAATTATCCAATTTAATATTTAATTCTGTGCTCTAATATTGCAGTTACAACTGTTTTCTTTGCAAATATTGCATCGCGAAAGTATATTTTCAGCAAAGGGTATCAATATAGACGCAACTCTTCTTGTTGCAGTAAGTAATTGGCTTGCTTGTTTTCATGAATTATATGTTATTTATTCTGTATTCGTATTTTCTTTTCAGATTGTCGGTAACATTATTACGTATGTGTTAATCTTACTACAGTTCCTGGTAATGTCAAGTACTTGCGAAGGAATCAATATATTACGCGGATAGTTGATATTTAATATTATTAATTTATAAGAATAATTATAGTATTACACGAATATGATTAGAAAGATACACAACAAAACAGTAGAATATTTTCAAATATTGAAGATATTGTTTATATATATATAT